TGTTTTGCTATTTGGAGTGAAGATATTGGATTAATTGGAGAAGATGTCAGCTGGGAAGAACAAAGAATGGAGAAGATTCAACTATTTTTATAAATATGAAATCTTCTGATAAATATAATTATGAATAAATATGGATCTTCGTTAATGTTGCCGATGACCTCAGGATTTACTTAGGGATTAATGCGGAACTCAATGCAATGTAAAGGATAAGAAAGGTAAGACCAGTAAATATTTCATGTTAAAGATATAAATTAATTTATAAAAATGATAGCTATGTTTGTATATTTTTAGGCTAGGTTAAGGAATAAGAAATATTATGATAAATAGTTCATTTCTATTAATGTTTGTATATTATTAATGTGGTCAGTAAGGTAGTTTCATAAATTGAACTACATTTGGAATAAAGGTTTATATATTATTAATATGGTGAGTAAGGTAGTTTCATAAATTGAACTACATTTGAAATAAAGGTTTATATATTATTAATATGGTCAGTAAGGTAGTTTCATAAATTGAACTACATTTGAAATAAAGATTTATATATTATTAATATGGTGAGTAAGTTAGTTTCATAAATTGAACTACATTTGAAATAAAGGTTTATATATTATTAATATGGTCAGTAAGGTAGTTTCATAAACTGAACTACATTTGAAATAAAGTGTAAGGGTGAGTAGGTTACATAATATGTGATATATTGGTGGTTTAATTGGAATTAAACGGATGAAGTATTTGGTGAATGATAAATATATATGGAAATGGACTTTTGTAATAAGTATGTGTTATATAATTATGCATTTTGGGTTTTTAAAGGGATGGACATGTGTGGGATAATTTATTATTAATTAATGTTAATATATTGTATGTGTAATTTAGTTTCAATTAAGGTTGATATGTTGTTAAGGGATCTATTGAGGGTGAGTTAATGTTGTTTATTTTGAAGTAATTAACCATTTTTATGAAATAGGGTGTAATGTGGATACACATATGATATATTTAATTATGAATGATAATTTAAAGGAATTGAAGTATGATGAAGTCAGAATAATATCTATAATGTTATAGGTGGATAGTTATTTTGATTTAGTACCTGCATTTGATATATATATAAATTGGGTATGGATTTATATGATATATTAGATGATGTGTAAGATTTTTTTTTTCAAATTATGAAATCTTTATATTTAATATATATATATATTTTTTTTTAAATTATAAAATTTTATAAAAAGTTTTATTTGCAATTATTATTATTTTTATGGTATGCAATGATGTGAAGGGAAAATATTTTTACAGATAAGGTCGGCCATGTTGATGGGTATGCCTTGAGGTGGAAATATTGTTTAGTTTGCATACTGGAGAAAGTTTTTTTTGTGTAATTTTTTTTTATACAAATTTATACTGCATATTACATTTTTTTTATCTTTGTAATAATTTTATAGCACATCACATTTTACTATTTATTTTATGAACATTTTTTTTAAAGAAAAGACTCAAATTATTTTATATTGTGAAGGTATATTAAAAATTCTTTACATATATATCATATAGCCCATTATATTCTCAATTTTTGTTACTTTGCATTCTACATTTCTGTGAATTTGTGCTAATTGTGATGGCAGGGTTAGATAGAAATGGTATATTTTTACTAAGATACTGAGTAATTCCTAGATGAAAAGTATTTTATTGTCTACGTATTATATATTATTCCTCCTTATAAAATATTAAATTTATACATATCCCTGGTAATTTTGTTAAATCTTTGTTCGGCAAATTTTCGCAATTATTTTTAATACCTAAAAATGGATTTTTTCTATCTATTTTGTAGTTTTTTTCACATGACCGAAGGAAAATTACATGTGTTGAAATTACATTATAAACCATTTGTTCACATTACAGTATTATATTGCAAAATAACATGAGAATGTGCATAAAAGTAAAAAACGTGTTTATTTATATTTAAGTTTATTATTACTATCTATTCCATTTCATACATCGTTTATATACATTTTTATAAATCTAAATTAGAATACAAACGAAAAACAAAAAAGTAAAAATATTATAAAATATAAAAAGTAAGGTTACGCCGAAAGTTATAAAAATAAGGTTACGCCGTACATATTAATAAAGTTATTACAAAAAATAATAAAAAATTAGATTACAAAAAAATAATAATTAGAATAACTCAACATTCTCCCTCTTCTGATAATTTCATCGGAGATGTAATAGAGAGTTTGTTGTCCAAGTGGTTTATCGTTTTGGTAATCAAGTTGTATCACAAATCATCATAACGTTGGCTTGTCCCAATCGTTGGTTTGTTTATATCGCAAGCTTGATATCCTTATCGTAATTTGTCTCCATTAATCATAGCTTGTTTGATAGTACTCAGTTGTTATTATTATCATAGATAAGTTGCGAATAATGAGAAATAATAGTTCATCATATTGGATATAAGAATAAATGAAGAATGATAAATCAATAAGATTGTTATATAATATTTTAAGCGTTTTAATTCTTTGCGTTTTAATATAAGCGTTTTAATATTTAATTTACTTTATGCAATTTAATATTTATTTTATATCTTAAGTTATATAGTCTTTTAAATAAACAGGTTTTTTTTTATTCGCACAGGTCTAGAAATAGGTGTTATTTTGTTATTATCAATAATTTTTACATTTTTGTCCACACTTCCCTCCTTAAAAGAATCCTTAGAGTCATAGTTAACAATTGTGTTAAAACAGTTTCTAATTCTTATTTGATATAAATGTCTCCTCAAAATACCTTTCTTTGTCTTAATTTGGAACATCATGTCACTTTCTTTATGTGTGATCATACCTTTGCACCATTTATCATCACCTTGTACTTTGTACCAAACAAAATCTCCTACGTTAAAGGTTCTATTACGTGGTAAAGTAAAGTTTATTTTATTCCCCTTCTCCTCCAACGGTTTTAATAAGTCCCATTTAATTCGAATATCTCGATTAAACATTTTCTGAGATGGTGTAACTCCTGTAGTATCATTACGCGTATTTCTGTAATTAAATAAAAATTTGCCAAGTGCGATATCTAGGTCAACCATAATATTCCTTTTCATATGTGTTTTGAACGTTCTCACCATGCGTTCTACCTGGCCATTGGATTGCTGGTGATACACAGATGTGAGCACATGTTTGATACCGAAATTGTTGCAAAATTTTTCAAAATCGTTACTATAGTTTCAGGTATTCTATATAGCGAAATAGTTTTAAAGATTTCTTTTAAAGTAACATCAGTCGTAATATTTTTAACAGGAATAATAATTGGAAATTTGCTGTAGGCATCGACTATTATCAATCAATTTTTTGTGAAAAACGGACCCGCATAATCTATGTGTATCCTTTCAAACGGTTTGGTTGCCGAAGCCCATGGTTTTTGTATCTTTATAGGATTATCATGATATATGTTACAATCGTCACAACTTTTCACTTCCATTACTATGTCATTATTTATACCAGGCCACCACATGTAATCTTTGGCTAAGGATTTGATTTTTCCTGCTCCCAAGTGACCTTCATGTAATGAATGTAGTATATTTTTTCTCATAGAAGACGGAATTATGATTTTATTGCTTTTGTAAAGACAATCCTTAATTATACTTAATTCCAATTCAATGTTTTTATAAATATTATTCACAATAGGCCTGTTGTTATTAATATCACTTATGACTTGTCTTAATTCTATATCTTTCAAAGTTTCATCACGAATTTGATCAAAGTTAATAGGTAAATCCTCATATTCATTTATTATGGTTACATTTTCAATAGTTTCATCACGACATTCTTGTGGTAATCTCGAGAGACAATCAGGAACAACATTATATTTACCGGCTTTATACTTTATATTAAAATCATATCCTCCAAATGTAATATTCCACTTTTGGAGTCTTAACGACATGGTGCTATTATCCTTAAGACCCTTGGTAAAGATGTGAACTAGAAGTTTATGGTCAGTAATAATGGTAAATTTTGTGCCGATTAAGTATTCCTGGAACCTTCTTATAGCGAACATAATGGCGAGAGCCTCATGCTCAATATTGGTATAGTTCATTTCAGATTTTAATAAAGTTCTCGACGCGAAAGCTATAGGTTTTTCTTTACCATCTTTTTCAATATGAAATAGTACAGCTCCTAAACCACATTTTGATGTGTCAGTGGCTATCCCTATAGGTAATTCAGGGTTAAAATATGTCAAAGCAGGTGGAAGACTAATTAACTTCTTAATGTCATTAAAACTTTTAGAGTGTTCAAGGTTCCAAGCCCCTTTTTCTTTGTTGACAATCTTGTAAAGAGGATCGGCAATTTCCGCAAAATTGTTCAAAAATTTTCTATAGTAGACAGCCATTCCCAGAAATGTTGATAATTCAGCAGCTGATTTTGGTTCTGGCATATTAATTATTGCTTCAATTTTGTCGTGATTAGCATGAATCCCCTTAGCGTCAATATCATGACCCAGGAACCTCACTTTGTTTTTAAAGAACACACTTTTATTGAAGTTAGGTATTAGCCCAAACGATGATATTCTATCAAACACTTTTTTTATGTTGTTAAGGTGGGCTTCATCGTTTTTTCCAGTTATAAGTAAATCATCAATATAAAATTTGACGTCATCCATATCACCGAAGATTTGATCCATGATCTGTTGAAAAATTGCAGATGAGGTCTTAAGCCCAAAAGGTAGTCTAGTAAATTGGTAATATCCCTTATGCGTAGATATGGTTAAAATATTTCTGCAACTTTTATCAATTGGTATCTGTAAGAAAGAATTTTTAAAGTCAATCTTCGTTCTTTCCTTCTGAAAGTTTAGCAATTAGATCATTGATTCGTGGTAGAGGGTATCTAAAATCTTCTAGAGCTGGGTTTACAGTGTCCTTAAAATCAGCACAAAGCCTAATGCTCCCATCATCTTTGTAGACAGCGGTAACAGGACTTGCCCATCGGACATCATTCGCCGGCTCAATTATTTTATCTTGTATCCATTTTTTTAAGTTCATTACTAACAAGATCAATTTTTGAATAAGGGATACGTCTAGGCGGTATAATTTTAGGTTGGGCATCACTTCTTAAATGTAACTTGACACTTGCTTTGTTGATTGGCCCATTAGTTAATTTCGATTCACACTCTTTAATCAATTTTTTTATTTCATCTTCATAATTAGTGTTAATATTTGCTATAAATTTATTTAAAATATTTTTGAAAGCATTGATCCATGTACGTCCCAACAAGGCATTTTTACTTGATTCGACGATTACCGCTTGTAAATATTTTGAGATACCTTCATAAGTTACTTTAACTTGGGTGTTGCCGATGATTTTGATTAAATTCCCGTCATAAGCGGTGAGTTGTAGCTCGGATTTCTTAAGATCTCTAATACCAAGTTTTTTAGCAAGACCATGAGGTATAATAGTGTGTTTGGAACCAGTGTCAATCTGCATACAAGTAACAATATCGTTCACTTTTAAAGTAGTCATAAATGCGTTATCTTTGTCATTAATCACGTCACCAGATAAATTGTTGACATTAAAATTATCATCTTTGTTCTTTGTAGAGTCAACTTTCTCTTCAATAATTTCTTCAATATTCATGTTGTAATCATTGTTGTATTGTATTTGCTTTCTATTATTTTCGTCGCCACCTCTATAATTATTTGAGTTGTTGTTATATTGTATTTGCTTTCTCTGATTATTATCATTACCTCTATAATTATTTGAGTTGTTGTTATATTGTATTTGCTTTCTCTGATAATTATCATTACCTCTATAATTATTTGAATTGTTATAATAAGATTGGTAATTGTTACGATTTCCGTCACCGTATTGGATTTGTTTTCTTTGATTATTATCATACCATGTATTATTTCTACCATAATTCGATTGATGATTATTATTATAGCGATAATTGTTGTAGTTATAATTATTATAATTATCGTGGTATCGCGAATTATTATTACCATAATTGTATCTAAAATTATTATTGTAATTCCCATTTCTATATCTATTATCATAATTATTTCTAAAATTATTTCTAAAATTATTATCATTTCTACTGCAAAAATTTTTATCTTTATCGGACTTTTTATCATTATTTATATAACTTATATCATTATCCTCAGACTTAATATTACTAGAGTCCAGTTTCACCCCTAATTCAACCATCTGATTTAACGTCAAGTCAAAGTTTTTGGAGAATTTGTATATAATCTTATCATTTAAAGTAGAAGTGCGTAGTTTTTCTTTTAATCTACTATCGTCCAAAAATTTACATTTTTTATGAAGTTTCCATACTCTAATGTTCCACAGCATAAAACTCTCTGATGAGTTTTGTTGAAGAAAATTAAATTTATTAATTAAAGTATTTAAATCTAGCGCTGGTAAAAGGTAAGTTAATTTTTTAATCACAATTTTAAGATCTAAAATATCGGTATCAGAACAAATTGCCTTAATGTCGTCAAAAACTTCGTCTGATAAATTATTAAGCAAAGTATTTATTTTAATAGTGTCCGATAATGTACTGGTCGAAAAATAATTTAATATTCTGTCTAAATAAATTTCGGTAAGAGGACCCACTAACTTAGGGATCTTCTGTAAAAACTCTTGTTTTATTTCCATGTTTAATTAATAAGACACATATATAAGCAATTATCACATTTATTATTTTATCAATTCAAATTTTAATATAACTATTCATGTTTTGATAAATATACAGACTAATTCAATGAAACCATTATCGCTATAAATATAATGTTTCCCATTAAGTAATTCAAAACAACAAATCACGTCTCTTATATTCATGAATTCAAACAACACGTCCTCCGTACCATTTATTCTAGAAAAATTAACGTCACAATTGAAAGTTATGTCGAAAAGGATGTCATAGATTGAAATATGGTGGGGAATATTAATGATCTTGAACGAGAACATAATGTAAAAAAATGAATTTACTTTTCAATCTTCGTCTATATATAGGGAGAAAAAAAAATTTTATTATTATTTTTTTTAAAAAAAGAAAAACATTATTTTATCCATCTGGTGAGAATTTTTTTCCTATAATGGACCCGGAGCACCATGCAAAATAACATGAAAATGTGCATAAAAGTAAAAAACGTGTTTATTTATATTTAACTTTATTATTACTATCTATTCCATTTCATACATCGTTTATATACATTTTTATAAATCTAAATTAGAATACAAACGAAAAACAAAAAAGTAAAAATATTATAAAATATAAAAAGTAAGGTTACGCCGAAAGTTATAAAAATAAGGTTACGCCGTACATATAATAAAGTTATTACAAAAAATAATAAAAAATTAGATTACAAAAAAATAAGAATTAGAATAACTCAACATATATGTAAAATCAATATTTCCTAATTACCATTAATCATACCCAAATGATGTATATTTTAGATCCTATTTCTCAAATGTCTTAAAATGAATGAATTATTATGTTTTGCGGATATTACATTGTCCATATTAAGGTTCCATAGATTATAAATGCAGATACCCCAATGTACATGTCATTATTGATAATATGTGTTTTCGCGCTTATATATTGAAATGTATCGGAGATATTATATTATAAATCATTATAAGGGAAGTCGATTCGATAAATTCCCTGAACGTCAAGGTGTCCCGATACAATTCAAAGAGGTGATTTGATACAATTTAAAGAGGTGATTCGATACAATTCAAAGAGGTGATTCGATACAATTCAAAGAGGTGATTCGATACAACACCACCACAGAGAGAGGGACGCTGGGCTTGTGAAAGGTGGGCGTGTTGTAGCTGTTGAAAAAAAGAAGAAATTAATTTAATTTAATACATCAAATGTCAGTTATTTTCTGACAGGGGATTTTAGTTTTCCTGGTGGATGGAGGGAAAACGGGATCATCACATGGGTTGTTGTTAAAAAAGAGTCCTTTGTTTTCCTATTTGGAGTGAAGATATTGGATTAATTGGAGAAGATGTCAGCTGGGAAGAACAAAGAATGGAGAAGATTCAACTATTTTTATAAATATGAAATCTTCTGATAAATATAATTATGAATAAATATGGATCTTCGTTAAAAACTTGACTAGATTTTAGGCTAAGTCGACTCGACTTAGCCCATTAACAACACTAGTATAAGACCGTATTATGCATCATCCTAAAAAATATTTTGAAAATATTATGATTTGACCGAATGCGGAGCTCAAAACCGACCACTTATTAAATATTCGATCGACTAAATTTGGTAGTAATATTAATAGGAAAATGTTCATTTTTGGTTTATTTATCAATAAATACGTGTAAAACATTATCCAAAAAAATAATAACCTAGATACATATATTTGTCGTCTTCTAGTATATCAATAGCTTTGGCTACTGGTTGCATAATCTAATATTTTTAATTGTAAATTATTTATAAGACATTAATTTAAATTTACACTGCAATATTCTTTAATAAAATCACGATCTTGTGATGTAAATCTACACAATTCTAATTCATCACATAATAAATCGAAATCCAAAGGCATTTTATTTATAAGTGATAATATTTTAGATAAAGATGTATAAAAAGAACCCCATCTTGTTACAATTGAATATGGCAGCTGAGAATGTATTCTCTTTTTAATTAACTCAGCTGATGGTCCAGATTTGTTTTGTGTATTCCACAAACGTTGACATTTTGATATAGCAATCTTATACTGCAATTTTTATGTAAATAATGGAAAGTATTAGAAAATTTATTTCTTATTTTAGAATTTATTAGGCAAAAATGAATATGTAAAATTTAGAAAAAAATATATTACTTATTCAGAGTATAAATATTGCCAGAAACTTGAAGGAAAATAATATGAAATATTTGGTACTAAATTTGTAAAGAAATATAATATTAAAAAATAGGTTTATTTATTACTTGAATTTGATTACAAAATTCAAGGTTTCTAATTCCAAACTGTCACTTTTACACAATTTAAAAAAAAATAATTTAATTTTAAAATTAATTTATCGCATAATATTAAAAATAAAAATAAAATGAATTATTTGAATATATTATTTAGATTTATACATACATATTTTTAAAAGTAACTAGTTACTTTTAGCAGTTATATTGGTAAAAATATAACTCGTTACAGTTACTAGTTACAATTTTTAAAATATAACTAGTTACCTTAACAACACTATTTTTGTTAACCTCTTTAAGAATTATTTATTTGGTTAGGCCTACAAATTTTTCCTTATTAGTCATGGAATTTTGTCGATGTAGGTTGCCAAGAATTATATCGCCCTGTGTGATTTTTAAAAACTATTATCAATTGAGGTTAACCTTTTTTTATCACTTGTAATTCTTTAGACAAAAAATTTTTTATCTACGCAATCGAAAATATTTAATATTGTAATAAATGGATAAATATTTTATATTTGTATTGTTTTACTTTTATTATTTGTATGCTTAATAAATGACAAAAGATGATATTGAGTAATTGTTCTGAGTTTGCAAATTTCAATTAAAAAAGTTATATTAATATAAAACCCGGCTGAAGGCCAGCAATATAGGGAGTATGGAGGGCGAGTTGACCCACCTGAGATTATAAAGACTAGTGGTGCCTCTGCTGTAATCTAGACCTCAATGTTTGATATTTTGATGATGCCGCATTATAGGGTCATCGGTGAAATAATTAAAGTTATAGATTTTATTATTTTAATATTTAACAACCAAATTCATCCTTAAATTATAAAAATAAAATGCGAAATACACTCAAATACAAATTTTTCTTCCCCAATTATTGATCTTTTTACTCTTCTTGAGTCACCAATGGGTAGATCTACAAATATTCAAACATTTTTATAACACAATCCTATTACTCTTTATTATAATATATTCTCCAGTATTTATCTTCCCACCAGACGTTTTATTATATCAAATAAATATTTAATATTCACAAATGCAATTCTACTTCAGATCATCTGGAGCCTATTTATTTTTATCTATACTTGTAATGTATGAACAATTTTAATCGAAATTGGAGAATATAGTTAACCTATAATATCACCAAAATAGCTGATTACAAAACATTACCAGAAACAAAAATCAAATTCTCAAATTAATTAAATTTTTTGTGGACATCATGTTAAACAATGTTCTGTTATCTGCTAACACATCCTTTAGCGCCATTTATCCACTCTCTTATTTAAAAAAGGATTAAGATGCTGAAGTGCTCCTTCGATTATCTACTAATGAGCTAACCTTCGTTTATTGGCAATAAATAAATCAGGCCACGAATAGCTAGAAGCTTATATAAGCATGTTAAATGAATATTTAAACAAATAAGGAATCGATAACAATATATACAAAAAATATGCTTTGAAATATTACGTTACAATTTTAAATTATATAAAGATTCATGACTTTTTTTAAACCACTTTTTTTCTTTTCTTTTTTTTGGCTATTTTCTAAATTTAAAAAAAAATTACCCAAAAGTTATACGAAATGCACAACTATCGTGAGTGTTAAAAGATAAACATGTCCCGAATCATCCATTAATTTTAAAAATGTTTGATATGAATGATTTACTATCTATATTTGAAGATAGTACAAATGTAGAAAAAAGCACTATTATTTATATTATATATATTAATTCTAGAGATTATTATATTTAAAAATATTTGCTAGTAGGCCATTCCATGTCAAATCGATCAAAAAAGACACTTTTTCGGCCGACCCCTTTTAAAATTGTTAAAAATTTCTGGAATTATTTAGATAGGTAAAAAGATGAGCAAGCCGTTTATTTTAGCTCTCTAGCACACTTGGTTCTTGAGATATAGGGGCTCAAAGGTACAAAAAAGAGCCACATTGGAATCTGTAAAATTTTTAAAATGCTTATATCTCAAAAACTATTTATAGTAAAAAAAATTATAATATAACATTTTGTAGGTAAAGAAATTCTCTAATGGGCTAACAAAGAATAATAAATATTGGCGCCATTATAGACTTTTAACATCCGGTTTACCTAAATTGCTTTACCTGTATTTTTAAGCAAAATAGTGAGTTTGTTTTCGAATTTTTTTTTTGCTTTTTATTTAGACACCTTTTATAAATATATATACGATGTCAAAACCTTGGCGACGCTATCGACTTTTTCATAATATACATTTTTACCAAAAATTGAAGAAAAAAGTAGATGGTGCTAATGGTTGAAAAATATTATTCTTAAGGAAAATAAAAATATTGATACGTTTATAAGAATTGTGATAAAATTTTCCAGTTCTGCCCCCCACCTCCACTCACACTATCATTAAAATGTTTTACATTTTTACATCTCTACTTTGCTACTATAGCGAGCGAATGACTTATTAGCTCGATAATATATAACAGCTGCAGTAAAAATATTAGCATATATTCGATTATATTTTACAAAATAAATTGTTTAAAACGATCTCTCTTTCTGAGAAATAATTTTAACCTGTCCGTTCAGATTAATTTTATCGTCTGTCTACCAATAACAATCTGGATTTGGAGAGTGCAAAAACATGTATTCTAGGTGCAGATCAATTAAAATTTTATTCTATATCACAGATGGACGTACCAAATATTAAAATGTTGCAACCCATTTAATCTACAG